CTGGTCGGGGGCCGGCTAGAAAGCAAGGCGCCCTTCCTCTCCTCCAAACAGAATTGGATCCCAACAGGCATGAGTCAGTGCAGCCGAAACTCGTGCTGCGCGAAAAGCGCCCGCGAGCCGGGCGTTCACAGATCGGGCTTTGCCGCTTGTTAGCAGGCCAGCAGCTGAAGCAAGAGCAAGGATCCGAAGGAAAACAGCAGGGAGTTAAACTGTGCTCGGGAAACTGCCCGGCTCTTCCAGGAGCTCCCATCCACTGGCAAAAAGCAGCAGTGCCTTTACACCGCGTACTCACAACTGCAAAAACTTTCTCTGCTCACGGCAGGGAAGCCCTGGCCCGAGAAGGATCAGGCACCCCTTCGTTACACCAGCGCTCAGAGGCGCAAACCCACGCCGGACGCGTTCTGTGGTGGGTGCCACCGTGCCCCCGCGGCGCCGTGTGCCAAGGTGCTGACGGCAAACGTGCTCCCCAAGCCCCGTTCTGCAGCCTTTTGGTGAACGGCGTGGCAATGGCCTTAGCACCCCCCCAATCTGCATTCTGACATCAGAAAACTGCTGACGGTGAAATAAGAAAAAAAAAACCTCAAATATAAACGTGAGGGCTAGTGTTAATGCCCTGGAAATGGGCTGGGCCAGCAGGGTACAAGGCAAGGGAGGCGAGCATCCCAAAATGAGAGGGCGACTTATTTTTGATAAAGCGGGGGCACGTGCTGAAGTGGATTGTGGGTTGGTCCCTGCATTTTTGATTCCTGTTTTTAGCCTGGGGTTTTTACGCTCAGAAGTGCAGTTTCTCTGGAAGCACATCTCCAAAAGCCACCTCCACCCGCGATGGACTTGGGAGCCCTTCTGGGGTTACAGGTCTGCCTTCAGCTCTTTGTCTCCTGTGAAGATTCTCATGGAAATCATCTTAAAATTGTTTGAGGGTGAAGCTGTTGTAAGATGCACTCGGGAGAGGCCGTTCTTCCTATGCTCACCTCCTTTTGCAGGGGACCCACAGACTGGCGGCTCCCTTCCGCTGCGACGCCTTGCAAGGTGCCGCAGTGCTCTGCAAACTGCAGGCCAAAGGAATTGCAGGGCCTGCGGCGGTCTGTCTGCAGCCCCCTGTCCCCACCGCAGCGTGACAGCTTCACAATAACTCGCCCTTTACATCTCTCTGTGTTTTACTGTTACAGAATTTATTTCAAAAGGTTTTATTTTTAAGACATCTTAGAAAGAAGGGCGATTAGAGTTTGCTCGTGGGACTTCCACAGAAAGCCACGATGCATTAAACCAGAAAACAACGAGAAAAAGGGAAAAAAACTCCCTTTTTTTGTCAAAATAGGGGATTCTGCTGCAGTACCCCTGCACCTCAGGAAGGAAGAAAAAGTTAAAGAAGGAAGAAAAAGGAAGAAAAAGCAAAGGCGGGACTGATAAAAAGTGGTCAGACGGTTCTGGAGGGAGGACAGGGCGCTCTCCATCAGGCATTGCCTGTTCACGCGCAGCTTCCAGCCTTGCCCGATGTACACATCTCAGAAGCGATCGTGCAATCATTTGGACAGCTTTTATGGCAGCAGAAACGTCTCCTCCTGCTGTTTAATTAGTTTTTTCCTTAGCACCCCTTCAGTTTCTCCTGGACCACCGCTCCCGACAGAGCCAGCCTACTGACGATGACAGGCTCGCCTTATCTCAGAACGCTCCCGACAGCCTCGGGTGCTGCCCTGGGCAAAGGCGCCGCAGCGGGGGCGCCAGCCGAGCCCCCGGCGGGAGGCAGCGTGCCCAGGGCTTGGTCGCCGCTTCTTGTGTCCCTCTCGGCACCTGCAGCCCTGGAGCTGGCAAGGCTTTTCTGCGGCAGGGCTACCGGCAAGCAGGCGGGCTGAGGGGGCGCTGGCCACCGGCTCCCCCCTGGTTCCCGACGGGGCCGCCCCCCTTCCGCCCGCGAAGCACAGGACGGTCCATCAAACCCTCCTGCCACACCGAACCACCCTACGAGCCGCCGTGAGAGATATCCCTTTCACACCTTCCTCTTCCCGCTGCTTGCTGCGGTTATAAAGAAAAAATCACCAATTTTTCTTTGTTCCTCTGCACCCAGGAGGGGGGAGAAATGCAGCATTAGCTAGGACAGCCCTTTTTATTTCCTGAAAATGTGAATGCAGCACAGGGATGGCGGGTTCTCGCTGGCTGCTCTTGCACGACCTTTTGTGTGTCCTTCAGCTTCCAGTAACCCAGCACTGGAATTAAGAGGATTGCAGCTGAGCAGGCAGTACGTTTGTTCTCTGTTGCCTTCCAGAAACTCAGCTGTTGGCTTGGGGTTTTCTCCAGAAACATAGCTCAGCTCCACAGTGCGTTTTTTTCTGTAAGATCCCCACGTCATGTGTCCCTCCCCTATCGCCCTCGCCCACTCTTCAACTCTGTACTGTTTAAATAAACCAAACAAACAAAAAAAAGAAAATCAAACAATTCCCATAAAAATGCCATTAAGATGGAAAGTGCACGCATACCGAAAATGTGGCAGAGAGGACAGCCTGTGTTTCAATATTTTGCAGCTGGCCATGAGCACTGGCCAAAGCCCAGGCTGGCGGACGCTGTGATTTAGTGCCACCAAAGTAAAGCTCCACTTCGGGCTGACTTCCACAGAGCAGAATAAACAAGCATGCAAACAAAATTATTAGCCCTCCACAAAAGCTCGCTTCTTTCTAGAGGCTGCTGATGCAAACACCTAGCCTCCAAACAATAATGCTTTTGAAATAATTATTCCCGACTTAATTACAGGGCGTGCATCGCCTCGATCAGTCCTTGCTCAGGACAGCAAGCGGCTCCAGCAAAGAAACGTCCCCCAGATTGGACCCCTTACTTTCTATGGTATTTTTTTGTCATGCCAACTTAAATTTTTGAGGGTGGTAGTCTGCCTATAATACAGGCACAGACTCTGCAAAATATTACTGAGAACAGACCGAAGTTTGTGGCATTTTGCCACTCTTTTTTTAAGAAAATGCATAACTTCATGGCTCTTGACGTTTCCCCCGTTTAAAAATCCTTTGCCCACTGCCAGAGAGAAGCTGTGTGCATCCAGATGATGTCTTCTCATGGAATCTTCAATAGGAACGCCCTTATTCCTCAATTCTCCTGGTTTAAAGCAGTGTGATCAGCAAATGTCTCCTCCTGAGAGCTGCAGAGCGAGGAGCCAGGTCCTGCTCCTGTGCTCAGACCATGAATCCAAAAGGCGCGCACATTGAACCCAAAAATGATGTCTTGCCCCGTGATGTAGCAGCACATCCTGGGTGCTCTGGAGCTTCTGGGGAAGGTGGAGGAGAGGCCTCTCCTCTGCGTCCCCTCGGGCGGACTCCCAGGAGAGAGGCCGGGGACGTGCCCATGGATGCCCCAAAAGGAACGCAGGGGCGGGGGAGGCAGAGGTGGCCTTCCTGACACATGTGGTGGCTTTTCCAAACTTCACAGCCTTTGCTTCTTGGCTTCTGCTCAGAGGCAGGTATTTTCCAACAGCCCCCCCCAGCCTTTGAAGATGTCCCAAAGATTGACTGATTTGGCTGCTTTCTTCAAGAAAGCTATTTTTCAAGATTATTTCTTTTACTTCACTTAAAGATGCACTTACTTATAAGCCTCGAGACTTGCAAGGAGATAGCAGTGATAACCATGTCAAAGACGGGTTCTCCAGGCAGTGTGTGTCAAAAGAGAGCTGCCATCAAAATCTCACCAAATTTCAGGCTGGTAAAGCCTGGGGCTGGTGGAATAGCCCTGCCTCTGTCTGGTAGAGCGCTGGTGGTTTTCTCTGCCTACTAAATAATAAAATAAAGTCTCTGGCGACTTTATGCAAATGGATAGCAGCCCAGGGGGGAGCTGCATTACCCTCTGATGCAGAGCCTGGCGGTCACCTGCCCCAAATGCCATAAAACATCACAGATGCATAAAAAATGGGAAACGGGCGAGATTTAGATTTAGCCCAAATGCACAGCTTTAACAAGAGCCGTTCGGGGACCCTCACAGCGGGGTTTTAGCTGGACACGTAGCAGAGCAAACACCAGCATTTGGCACAAGGTTCATCTTTTCTCACTTGTTTCTGGCAAGTCAGTATTTGCATGCGGCTGCCACTTCTGCACGAGTGGTCATCAAAGCGTAAAGGAAAACAAAACAAAACAGAAAACCATTTCAAACTCCTTGGCGCCGCGCTTCACGCTCTGCTGGGCAGCCGCGAGCTGGAAAGGAGGGGCAGGGCCGTGGGCGAGCTCTGCGGTCTGGCCGCCGTTCCGCAGGAGCGAGGCACGAGGGGCGAGCGCGGGACGCCTGCGGACGCGCCCCCGTGGCCCCGGGGTTGGGGATCACCAGCGGCGCCGCGGCTGCAGGAGCCCTGCGCAAGGCGTGGGTCTTGCACGGCACGTCTGGACCGTCCTACCTGGGGGGTGGGACAGCCTGCGGGGAGCCACGTCCCGCACATCTTGCCATCTGCAGCCCCGAGTGAGCATCTCGGACCTTCACCTCCCTGCGGCGAAGCCACCCCCTGGGAGGCGAGAGGCACGGGCAGATTCTGGCTGTGCAGTGGCAGCTCTACCTCTGAGCTGCTGGAGATGCGCTGCTACTGCCTGCCCCAGATGCCATAAAACATCACAAATGCATAAAAAACGGGAAATGGGGGAGATTTAGATTTAGCCCAAATGCACAGCTTTAACAAGAGCCATTCGGGGACCCTCGCAGGCGGGGTTTTAGCCTATGCCTAAAGCAGCCCTTCTTGAAGAAAGGCTTCCGTGCACCCTCATGTTTACTTCTGGGCTTTCCTTGGCTGTTTTTCTTGGCGTCCTGTGCAAAAGAACCATGAGGAGAGCCGGGACGGTCTAGCTGGTGGTACGCCTGTAGGCAGCAGCCACAGAAAACAGAATAGGCTTGCTAAATTGAGGAAAATACACAGATAAAAATAAAGCTGAAGGAGATGGGCTGAGCTGCACCCTAACATCCACATTGCAAGAGTGAACTGCTCAGGAATCACCCTCCGGTCTGCTTTGTCCTTTGCTTATCGCGACAGTTGTGCTGACTGTCGCACCTCTCATCGTTGCTGTGGGGTGATGACCCACAGCTCTCGGATGAGGCCATTCCTTCCATTCTCAGAGAGCTGAATCCAGGGCTTAAATAGCGGTGTCCTAACCCTTGCATGAGCGCCGACTCGGTGTCTGGCAGGGGCTGCAGCTGGACCCCAAAACTTGAAAGCACTTTTTATCCGGTAAGATGAAGGCAGGCAATGAGTCTTCCTGGGAAGGACAGATACCACCAGCTACTCCTGCTTTTCTTGGGTAACTATTCGGCTCAAAATATTTTTTAATTAACTTTACAACCCGTTTTTTGAAACCCTATCTGTGTTAGTAGTACGGCTGGCACAGCATCTCGTCGTAACACCATTTTTTTAAGCTGAGATGAATGTCTGACTAGACTGCTAATGCAGGCTGATGTCCTGAGAGTGTTACGATGCTTAAAATAAAAATCCTTGCATTCACTTTCCAATTTCTTCCGTCGCCTTCTCTTGCATGTCTGCAGGGGCTGATAGCAGAAGAACAAGGGCTGCAGCCAAGTTTAACGAGCATGAAGGAGCCACTTCTGTGCTTGCCAGCAGACATCTTGCACCGCCCGACAGCCTTGTCTGGACATCATCCCTGCTCTGATAAACTGGAAAATAACTGGGGGCAGGGAGAGGTGACGAAGCGTGGCGTCTCTGGGTCAGGGCTCCTGCGGCTGGGCGGCAGCCTTTCAGGATCTTGTCCTCCCAACAAGGAACTGCGGGACATCTCCTCCTCCTCCTCCTCCTTCCTCCCTTGGTTCAGCGAGAAGTAGACACACACAAACACACTTTTATATATATATACTTTTATATATATATACACATGTACTTCCCCTTGCCCAAACCCACTGTCTCATTTTATCTCCCCTGCACATATGTCTGCTGGTGTTTTCTCTCTTGCCTTTTCAAAGACAAATGGCAGCAGCTGATGTTGAAGCCATAGAATCACAGAATCACAGAATGTTTTGGGTTGGAAAGGACCCCTAGAGGTCACCCAGCCCAACCCCCCTGCAGGAGCAGGGACACCTTGAACCACATC